TTGCCTATATATGCCTCTCTTTTGACCAATGAGATGTTTTAATCTATTGTTCATCCATTTAGGATCATTTTTGCTTGATCTGATTTCCTTATTTGGAACGTAAGTTGTCTGAGCAGCTAGAACTATGCTCTGGAAAATGTCATATCGGCAACCATCACTACTTACCTGACCCATAGTCAGGTCATTCCAGTTCAGCCCACCCAAGTAATTTTTCAGTCCTATGAAATCAGCCAAGCGGAAGTCAGGGACAGAGACTTGATTGCCATTATTAGGGGAATTCCATGATATATTAAAACTGAGTGATTTGTGATCACTTTCCCCGAGCTCATCATTAACCTCAAGATTATTAATTAGCGTTTCCCTGCTGGCAAGAACCAGATCAAGCAGGTTATTTCCTCTAGTTGGCTCTGTCACAAACTGCTTTAAAAAACAATCCTGAATCGTATCAAGAAAGCCACTTGATTCTAAATTTTCTGTCAAATTGCTCCAGTCAATCTGTCTTTAGTTTAAATTTTCCCCATTATCACAAAAATTTTCGAATTAGGGGCCCTTTAAAATTTTCATCCCCATAAAATTTCCCCCGCGCTTCCCAATCAAGTTTTTGGGGCCCCGAAATCACACCCAAAATTATTTTTTTCAGGGCCCGAGAAGCTGTAAACCAAACAGACCCCAGGGGGCTGACGCTTCAAATTTTTAATTTTTGTCTAACAAACATTTTAAATTTTGTTTTCTGACGTACTTCACTATTTCCACCACCCTTCCTTTGACCCTTCTTTGGGGAAAAAAATTTATACCCCTTTTTAAATGTGACATTCAAAAGGCATCTCTCAAATTTTTTAAGATTAAACCAGGCCCTTTTGTTTTACAATGAAAACTAGGGTTTTCCGGCACTTGAAATTTTAACCCTTAGCTCATCTGTCTTATTTCTTACATTTTCTGCTATTGTATAATAGCCCTTTAAAGGGGAGCAAAGCCCCCTTGCTGCCCCTGCTGTCTCCCTTTTTGGGTGACCCTGAAACTATTGGGCTTTATTTATAACTTCATGTGAATGTCTTTTATACATTTACTGCTTACAACCCAAAATGTTGCAACTTGACTGTTTTCCCCCCACACACCCAAACCCCTATCTTTTATCCCTTTTAAAAAACCAGGCCCTTTCAGCAATGGCCTCTCGATTGAGTTTTCAAGGCCCACCACCCCCCCGCCCCCAGAAAGATGGACACCATCCCTTGGGAAACATATCATGTTTGCCATAAAAGTTGTCCCGTTGTCAATGAATGGGATTGCAATTTCCCTTTGCAGTATCTGCCCTAGCCACCATTTACACCAATTGCCCTAGACAACCATTCATTGCCCACTCCCCATCTAGGCAAGATGCTACATATAATTGGGACCCCTCCCTTAGATTTAATTAAATCTATAGCTGACCTGTACTTATCTAGCAGCTCTTCTCTCCTACCCTTCCCAATATCATTTCCACCAGCACTGGGGACAGATAATAGGCTTGTTCCCATTACCGACATGATATTATCCAACCTGTCAACTATGTCACTAACACCAGCTCCTGGGAAGCACACACTATCTCTTACCTTATTATTCTTATTACAGAAGGCACGGTCCATATATCGTACCTGTGAGTCACCAACCACAAGTATGCGCTTACCTCCATTTGCAGGGGAAGTAGTACCTTTACCTTCACTGGCCACTGAAGTACACTCATCCTGAAGAACAGAGAAGCGATTTCCTACCTTCAAATCTTCTCTCTTAACTTTCCTTATCTTGATGCTCTTCCCATTACTGGGAACCACTTGCCACTTGTAGTAGGTGCTGGACTGCACCTCGCTGCTGGTAGCCTCATTCCCCTCCACCATATCAGCCACCTCACACTTGCTCCCAACCCCATTGAGGTGAACCTTCAGCCTCCTAATTTCCTCTTGGAGAAGCAAGACTTCCTCCTTCAACTCTCCAACCTCAATTTTTAGAACACTGCAAAAGCAAGCCATGGCTTTGTAACCTTCCACTTTAATCTGAACAGTATAGAGAGAGAGAGGCTTTGGAGGTTTTAGGAAATGTTCCAGACTTCAGATACTATTATGAAAATTGCGTTTTTACAATGGTTGAGCTGGACGTAGAGAACATCATAGACATTTTTATTCCTAGTATTGTGCCTACGTGCTCTGTTGCAACTATCAGGAGTTTCTGGGCAGGATTGAAATAAGAACTGACTGTCCTGTATATGTAGTATTCACAGTAGTATGAGTTTTATTTCAATTGGGATCCTTTAATCTTGTCCCCAGGATGCAACCCACAACAGTTGACTAACACCCAGGTACCTACTTAATGCTAAGTGAACAGTGGCAATAGGTGTCAGGAAACATGCCCAATGTTTTACCCATGCCGAGGATGAAGCAACAGACACTCAAGAGACAAGTGCACTATCAACTGAGCCCAGGACACTGAAATATTACTGATGCAAGTTAGACCAAAAGTCATCGTAAGTTTCAGTCTTAGGAGTGGGTTATTTGTGTAATGTTCCAGTCATAGTGTTATGACTCCATTCTGTAAGCAATAATAATACTTTTATTTCTCTGAGCCATACAAGGAATAAAGTAGATATACATGAATTAACACAAAAGCACAAAAAACAATGGAAATAAGTCACTGACTCTCTTTGGGTAACTTACACACATGTATATGTATGTTAATATGTAGGATAATTGTATTTATGTGTACCTGTACCTAAATAAACTTACTTCCCCAGGTGGTCACCCATCCAAGTTTATTTATTTACAGGCACATATAAGTAACATGTGTAAATTACTCATCAGGATAACCCAGATTTCATGGTCTTTTATTAGCACTAAGTTATTACAGGTCGTAGCTGACAAAGGGATATTAAAGATATTGTCTTGTCTCTTATGTTTGAGAGTTCTGTTGCAGATATTTTCATAAATAAATAATGAAGCACTAAGCCCACAGGGGACATCACCAGATAAATGAAATGTAATGAGCTTCAACCCGAGGAAGGGGAGGACAGCTCCACTCCCTTGGATTATGAGCTCTTCACCTGCATCAATGGATTTAATAATGTATTTAATAATGCATGTTCAAATGTACTGCTCCATAACCTATATCAATAGAGTAAGAATTAGTATTAGTCTGCCCGAAATGTCTAGGCCTGCCAGTGCCCTTCTTTGTAATTAATATTTTATAACATGTAAACCATACATTGTAAACTTTGCAAGGAAATAAACACTGTCATTAGTCACTACAATGAAGAAAAATGCAGATGAATAAACCTACAATTGACCACCCACCCGCCACAAGATACCATCCTACCAGCCTACAAAAGAACCATCCTACCCCCCTACAA